CACTCTGTGATGTTCACACAACGATGCAATTGCCTGATGACACATTTCCCAAAAGGTGCCCCTGCTGTTAAGGGATGTGTGACTGTGGATCAGGCAGTTGCAATAGTCAGGCATTTTAATCGCTTGTTTCCCAACTCTCCGAATGTAAAACAGATTAACAAAATATGTAAGCCACGAATATAAAAAGGAGAAGAAACCCAGATGAAGGGAAGACAGGTGAGAAAAACAAGGGTAATGTAGGCATGAATTGAGGCCATAAAACACTTGTCCTGAGCTGAGTGCAGTGGTGTGCACCTGTAGTCCCAGCTACTTGGGAGGCTGAAGCAGGATGGCTTGAGGCTGGGATTTCTGTGCTTTAGTGCACTATGCTGAGAGCGTGTCCACACTAAATTCAGCACTAATATGGTGAACCCTTGGGAGCAGAGGATCACCAGTTGGCCTCAGAAGTGGTGAACCAGCCCAGGTCAGAAACAGAGCAGGTCAAAACTCAGGTGCTGATCAGTAGTGAGATTTCACCTATGAAAAGACACTGCACTCCAGCCTAGACAACATAATGAGACCCTGTCTCTCAAAAAATAAACAAATTTTTATATATGCCTTGAAGTTCTGGGTAATTGTAGAAGTGGGTCATGGATCAGGTTCTGAGCTTCCCAGCAGGCAAAGCAAAAAGGGAATTGAGATCCATTAAGTCCAGCATCCATCCATTTTAAAACATTTGCATAGGCCGGGCACGGTGGCTTGTGCTTGCAATCCCAGCACTTTGGGAGGCTGAGGCGGGGGATCACGAGGTCAGGAGTTCGAAACCAGACTGGCCAAGATGGCGAAACCCTGTCTCTACTGAAAATACAAAAATTAGCTGGGTGTGGTGGCAGGCACCCATAATCCCAGCTACTTGGGAGGCTGAGGCAGGAGAATTGCTCGAACCCAGAGGCAGAGGTTGCAGTGAGCCGAGATCACACGCGACTACACAAGCCTGGGCGACAGAGCAAGACTCCAACTCAAAAAAAAAAAAAAGAAAACGTGCATATAGCCAGGCTCTGGGAGCTATGATGCCGTTCTGAGTTTTGTTACCCAAGAGGCTTTTCTTCTTTCAGAGAAGCATTTCTGAGAAAAGGGTGCTGCAGAAGCTGCGCAGCACGTGAGGCAACTATTACAACGCAGGGGTTGAGAGACCAGGCTCGGGGTCACACTGTTGGGTTCAATTTTTTATCTACTGTATAGATAAAATGGGTTATCTATAACCCACAAATGGGTTCAATTTTGGCAGGACAAGTTACAGCACCTCTCTAAGCCTGTTTCCTTATCTGTAAATTGCAGGTAACAGATGACGCCCACCGGGGAAGGCGATGGTGAGGATGTAATGAAGTCATGCACTGAAAGCCCTGGGCACAGTGCCCAACACAGTAAGGTCTCCGAGAATCTTGGTTTTTGTGGTGGCATAGTGATGACTGTTACTACTAATATCACCTCGTTTAATCCTACCAATAACTCCAGGGATGATTTTTTCCAGGTTAGATCACCACCCAAAATGACAGAAAGTGGCAGAACCGGGATATTAGCACATATCTGTGCAACAGTTCTTGCCCCTGAATTCCTGTCATAGCCATCAGCTTCCTCTCTGAAGGAAGTAGGCACTGGTCATCGTTGGTGGCTTAACTGGTAAGAGGAGAGGCAGGTGACCCCACCCAAGGCTCCAGGCTCCCACTCTGCCTCAGTCCTGGTTGCTCTGCTGTGCCCCAAATAGGGCAGACCCCAACCCAAGCCCCTGCCCTCTGTCCCTGCTCTTATAGCTGAGGCGGACAACTCTGAGTCACTGCTCTGAAACCTAGAAGTGTGTCCTGGCCTGCCCAGACCTTTGGACCCATCAGGATGAGGCAGGCATGGTCAGATGGTGCCCTGCCCATCTCAAGGGGCACCATCCACCTGCCACAAGGCAGCCTGGGAAGCACACGGGGATCTGGGCTGTGACGATCCACATCCATGTTCAGAGTTGGCTTCATGTAACAGCAGGCAGCCAGGCAGAGTGGGGCTAACAGCCCAGGAGATGGACTCAGGAGACCTGGGTCCTAATCCCCCCAACCACTTACCTGCTGGGGGCTTGGGCAAGGCACATCATCTCCCACACTCTTGGTGTCCTTGTGTAAAATGAGCATAATGCAAACTCCACCTTATAGGCCTGGTCTAAAGATAAATGGTGTAATGCATGACAGCACTTACCACAGGGTAAGTAATGCGGTGATGTGCACAAGGTAACAGTTTGGAAGCACATCAGGGTTCCTTCACAGCCACTGTCTGAAGAGTGTGCCGTAAAACATTTTTGATCAGAAAAACTTCTCAGCATGTTGTGGGTGGCTGGGATTACACCTGTAATCCCAGCACTTTTGGGAGGCCAAAGCAGGTGGATCACTTGAGGCCAGGAGTCCGAGACCAGCCTGGCCAACATGGTGAAACATGAAATATGATAAAACCCCATCTCTACAAAAATACAAAACTTGGGTGGGGGGATAGGGGAGGGATAGCATTAGCAGAAATACCTAATGTAGATGACGGGGTGATGGATGCAGCCAACCACATGTATACCTATGTAACAAACCTGTATGTTCTGCACATATATCCCAGAACTTAAAGTACAATTAAAAAAAAAATACAAAACTTAGACCAGCGTGGTAGCATGCACCTGTAGTCCAAGCTACACGGGAGCCTGTGGCACAAGAATTGCTTGAACCTGGGAGTGTGAGCTGGCAGGGGGGCGGGGAGTTTGCAGTTAGCCTAGATCATGCCATTGTACTCCTGCCTGGGCAACAGAGTGAGACTCCATTCCCCAAGACAAAAAAAAAGGAAAGGAAAACTTCTCGTAGACTGTCTTTGCTACGTCCACCCACTACAAACTCAGAAATTTATCAAATTGAAATCAAGTGCTAGCTTGTCCCGGAGTTGGGCAAGTCTCTCCTTGCCTCTGAGCCACCATTTCTTTACCTGCAACACACCTCTGACCCCCACCTAGTACACAGCCGCAGAGGTGACCTGTAGAGTCTGGGCCGAGGGTGGCTCTTTGGTGTGAATGCATTCAATCCCCCAACTTCCCAATCATCTCTAGACGTTGCACTTTGCAGGGTGCAAAATCTCTTCGTTGCTCTTACAAAGGAACCAGCCCAAGAATATCCCCAAGACGTCACAGACTCACAGTTTCCCACCCTAGAAAAAACTTGGGGCTGGGTGCAGTGGCTCACGCCTGTAATCCCAACACTTTGGGAGTTCCGAGGTGGGCAGATCAGAAAGGAATTCAAGACCAGCCTGGCCAACATGGTGAAACCCCGTCTCTACTAAAATACAAAAACTTAGCCGGGCATGGCGGCGTGCACCTGTAATCCCACTACTCAGGAGGGAGGCTGAGACAGGAGAATCACTTGAACCCGAGAGGAGAGGTTGCAGCGAGCCGAGATCGTCCACTGCACTCCAGCCTGGGCAAGAGAGCGAGACTCTGTCTCAAAAGAAAAGAAAGGAAAGAAGGACAGGAAGAAAAGGAAAGAAGGAAGGAAAGGAAGGAAGGAAGGAAGGAAGGAAGGAAGGAAGGAAGGAAGGAAGGCAGGCCGGCCGGGCACCGTGGCTCACGCCTGTAATCCCAGCACTTTGGGAGGTCCAGGTGGGCAGAACAGGAGGTCAGGAGACCTAGACCATCCTGGCTAACACGGCGAAACCCCGTTTCTACTAAAAATACAAAAAATTAGCCGAGTGTGGTGTCGGGCGCCTGTAATCCCAGCTACTCGGGAGGCTGAGGCAGAAGAATCCCTTGCAACCGGAAGGCAGAGGTTGCAGTGAGCCAAGATCGCACCAATGCACTCCAGCCTGGGCGTCAGAGCGATACTCTGTCAAAAAAAGAAAAAGAAAAGAAAAGGAAAAAAAAGAGAAACAACGAACGACCTTGGGGACCCATGAGACCAACTTCTCCCCACCCCAGAGCCCCCTTCCAGGGCACTCATTCCCTGTAAAGCCCTCCTTTAGATGGCTGCTCTGCCAGCAAACGGCAGCTTTAAAAACTAAGTAGCCCGGGAGGCAGCCGTTCCACTGTCAATCAGCCCTCCGCAGAGGAGCTAAACCTGGGCAGCCAAGACGACCTGGTTCGGCAGCCTCCGGGAGACGCGGTCTGCAGGGACTACAACCACCTGCAAGCCTGCCAGAGCGTGGCCCGCCGCGGGGTGCAGTCCTCGCTGCCCTAATGCGCCCAGGGAGTGGGGGGGCGGTGGGACACCCCTCCGTGGCTGGGACCCGCGGCCCGAGCAGGTGCCGGCCACGCCCTGGTCCAGGTTGGCTCCAGCGATGGGGACACGCGGGTTGCCAGGAGCGTAATCCCTCCCGAAGTCTCGGCCGGCCGCCTTGTCTTTTGTCACTGGAGTCTCCCATCCTCCACCTGAAGAAGGCTTCCATTCCGCAGACTTGAAAACTGAGGCTCAGAGAACGGCCCAAAGTGGGGAACCAAGATCTGCTGACCCAGAGCAGCTCTTTATTATCTACTTCCGCGCCCACCGGGGCTGGAGGAAGGGACACACTCTCCGGGAGGCGAAGATTCTCTGAATGACCACGGGGTCGTATTGTTTCCCCTGTTTCACAGACAAGGCAACGGAGTCACTCCTCCAAGGTCAGGGAGGCCGCCAAGCCCCAGGCGCCGCGCCCTTACGCACCCCTGGCCGCCTGACGCCAGGCGGGCGCGGCCGAAAGAGGCTCCGCCCCGCACGCGTGGTGTGGTCCAGGCTGCTCCATTCGCGCGGGGCCGGGGCGGGGGTCCTGGAAGCTGCGCAGCCGGCGTTGGCCCCGCGCGCCGGGGTGGTGAGGTCCGCGGACGGTTCCCCTGCACTGGGCCGGAGAGGGGCCGCGGCAGGCGGCGCGCGGGCCGCAGCCGCACCGGGAGCCCGGGCTGCAGCGGGAGCGACGCGCCGGCCGCCGGGTGGGGGTGGAGCCCCGCCGCGGCCCCAGGTAACGCCGGGCCCGGACCCTGCGCCGAGCGCCCCGGGCGCAGGGCCGGCAAGCTCGCGGCGGTAGGGGGCGGCCGTGGGCCGGCGGAGGAGCGCGCGCTAGGGCTTCCCGCCAGGCCTCTGCCGGCGCCCGCACCGCGGGAACTCGCAGTCCAGGGCCAGGCAGCAGGGGCCGCGCCGCTCTTCTCCCGGTCCTCTAGGTCCAAACGCCCCCAGCTAGGGGAGCCCCGGGGAACTTAGAGCCCCCGCGTGCCCTGCGCCCCGCGCACGTCCTGTCCACCACCCCAGCGGGTCCAGGCTGCGACTGGGACCCAGGCGGTCCGGGACCGCGAGCCGGATACGCGCTGCAGTTCTTTGGCCTCGCCATGTGCGTCCTAAACATTTACCCGACGCCCCCTGTGCCAACTGCTGGGGAGCCAGAGCGGCCTCAGCCCTGCCCTGGAGTGGCTGCAGGTCCCGGGAACAGACCGCTGCACCCCAGCGCCGTCCTTACTGCATTCTGGATGTCGGAACGCTGCAGGGTCTGGAGAGGGTCCGTGTCTTGCCCAAGGTCACACAGCTTCCGTTGCTTGAAAGCCACTAAGCTGGAGTCTGGCTGGTGCCGGGGGCTGGGAAGTGAGGGGAAGAGAAAGAGTAAGATGGAGGGGCAGCGGGGGTAGACTTGTCTTCCTGGCTCTTCCAGGGACCGCTCTCCTGCAGCCCTCGGTTTTCATCTCTGAACAATGTCGTGACGGTTCCTGCTCCGTTTGCAGAATCTAGGGGTTCCAGTATGAGAGGTGTAGGGTGGGGAGGAGGAGTCAGAAAGGGGAACGCCCCCACACCACACCCACAAAGCGCACACCTCCAAATTCGGACCCAGACTGGAAAAGTCGGCAGGTACCGCCCATCGGCACACACACTGAGAGCCACTGTTGACCCACAGAGGAAGATACTGTGACCCTGGACAGACAGCCTCACAGACCTTACTGACCTCCCCGAGGTCACAGGCTAGCCAGAGATGGGGCGGGCCAGCTTCAGGGACTCTGTCTCACCCCTCAGTGTAGCCCTTTGCCCCCAGTGGCCTATGGGAGATAAACACCTGCTCTGGGCACAGCCCAGGTGCTCAGGAAACGTCCTCTGCACTAGTTATTATCGTTCACCCGATTTTATAGACGAGGGACTGAGAAGGAGAGGAGCCATATAACTTATCCAAGATCTCAAAACTGGAGCCCCAATGCTGCAGGCCTGAGCCCCTGGAGGGGAGCACCTCTGCAGATGCCCTGCCCTCGCCGACATCTGCACAAACAGCTACTTAAGGGAGCCAGAGCTCGGGGCTCAGGGGTTGAGGCCGGCCCTGAGTGGAGAGAACTTAGCAGAGCCTTGTTTGCTCCCTCCCTGGTGTGTGAGGCTCTGGGCTCTGGTCTGATGCTCTGGTATCTGGGAGGTGTGAGCCCTGAGCTGGCTCTGCCAGACTGTGCTGTGTCCCTGGCTGGTACCCTAGTCTCTGTGTCCTGCCAGCTCCGTCCTGGGAAGGTTCTTGGGCCCTGCTTCTTCGTGGGGAGGTTTGAGGGCCTCAGAAGAAAGAAGTGAGGTACTTTCTGACTCTGAGGGGGAGAGGCAGCCGGTTATCCCGCTCTGGGGTTGGGGTGGGAACCCTGGCTGGGCAGGGCCCCAGCAGGAAACAGGGCCACGCTCTCCTCTTCCTGCCTCAGGCTGCCCAAGCCCCTCCCCTCTGCAGAGGAGGCCTGGGGAAGGAAGCCAGAATGTAGCATCAAGTGCTTTGTGCTGGAAGGATCAAAAATGGAACCCCTGTCTGGCTCCTATCCACTCTGATCTGGAGCCATCCCCTAGTCCCTGAGCCTCTGTGGTTTCTCCCTGGGGACATGTGCTTTTGGTTCTTCAGCAGCCATGGGGACCCCTGTGGGCATTCGTACTAAACAAACAACACTTAATGTGAGATTAGAATGAGATCCCAGGTTTGTCCCTTGATGGCTGCATGACACCAGGTGAGACAGAGTCTCTCTGCATGACAGAGTCCTGTCACCTCTCACCTCATCTGTAATATGGGGGCAATGCTGGTAGCCAGCTCTTAGATCATGGTGAGGAGAGCATCAGGATAGGACTTGTGCAGAGCTTGTGGAAGACCCTAAGACCCCCATTTCCCCATAGAACTCACAGCAGATGCCAGAGCAGAGGTGGGCTACCCCCACCTGTGGTTTCTGGGGCCCTCAGGGCCACACTTCTGGGCTCTGTGGTGAGGGGTGGCCCCTCCATGGCTCTGAACTGCTTTCCTCTTGATGAAATGAAAGTAAACAACATCTGCCTTCGAAGGCTTGGGGTGTAGGGAGAACACGGTGAGCAAAGTAGGTGTGCAGGCCACGTCCCCTCAGCAGGATGATTTCACATCCACCCACATAGGTTTTTTTAGGTTATGGGGGATGTGTTACTGACCTCTGGCGCTGGGGGGAAACTCAAGAGACTGGGGATTTTCTGAGAGTTTCCTGGGGCCAGGACAGGGCAGGGGTTTCCTGGTCCTGCAGGACAAGGGGCAAACCCAGAGCCCCGTCCCTGGGCATCCACCACCCAGTTTGAGCCAGGCCCTGGACTTGGTGTTGTGGGCCCTGTTGGGAGCAGGGGGAGCAGTCACATGGAGATGGCCTTCTGCTCTCATGATGCAACGTGATGATAATCCTACTGGACTGAGGAAGCCAGAGCAAGCTGGCAGGGCAGGGAAGGCTCCAAGGGGGTAGTCTTTGAGCTAGCCCCAAAGTGTAAGCAGGATTTTGCCCAGGTGAGTAGGGGATATTGAGGACATATTAAACAGAAAGAATGCCACAGTCAGAGGCTTGGTGGCTTAAAAGTATGGGATTAGATTGTGGCTGGAGGGTCACTTTCCTAAGGTGGGGATGGTAAAGGTGGTCTCACTGTGGGGCAAGTGACTTCACCTCTTTGAGCCTCAAATCCTCATCTGTAAAATGAGGCTGGGGTGCCTGTATGTGCCAGTGAAGGCTGGACACCTGTGCATTTAAAAACGCCAAACCCCTTCAGCCAGGAGGGGAATAAGTGAGATACACAGCAATTGTGACAGGACTGTGTGCAAATTATATGGCATGAGGTGAAGGCTGGGGTACATCTAGCTCTGCGTTCAAAAATGGAGGTTTCAGTACAGATGGAGACGTCACAGCTTCCTCTAAGAGGTGAGATAGGAACAGAGCCTCAAATGGCAGAAAAGCAGAACACATTGGCAGAAAGGAAAACAGAGGGCATTCCAGGCAGGCAGTCTAGCCTGAGCAAAGGGAGGAAGGTGGCAGGGAGAGAAGGCCAGAGGAAGCACCAGCATGGTGTGAGAGGAGGGACTGGGGAGAGGCAAGCCTGAAAAGTTTGGGCAGGAAAAGCTTGTTAAGTGCAGCCCCAACATCAGGTTTCCATGCAGTTGGCAGTAGGGAGCCACTATAGGCCCTATCCTTAAGGGCAGGCAGGCAGTCTAACAAATATGCAGGTACCTTTGAATGTGGGGAGGTTTTTTTGAGATAGAGTCTCGCTCTATTGCCCAGGCTGGAGTGCAATGGCATGTTCTCGGCTCACTGCAACCTCCACCTCCTGAGTTCAAGCAATTCTCCCACCGCAGCCTCCTAAGTAGCTGGGATTACAGGCATGCACCTGGCTAATTTTTGTATTTTTAGTAGGGATGGCGTTTCACCATGTTGGTCAGGCTGGTCTGGAACTCCTGACCTCGTGATCCATCCACCTTGGCCTCCCAAAGTGCTGGGATTACAGGCTTGAGCCACCTCACCCAGCCTTGGGAAGGGTTTTCAAATTGCTTTTATGTGGTGGGGAAAACAGAAGGTTGAAGGAGACACTGGACGTGAAAGAACAGTTGATGATGAGGAACTAGTTAAAGACATAACCTGGCATATCCACACTTATTCTCACGCACACTTAAGTTTTAACTGTGATAGAGTTTGGCATTCCGGGTAACATCAGTAGCACTGCATCATGAACTTGGTCTTGTGTTGCTTAGAGATCTGTAAACAGCCGGCTCGGTTCCATCTTCAATCATTGTGTTGCACAGTGATACTGATTGTTGCTGGTACAAACACTGCTATAAATATGTCTGTTCCCCAAACTTAAAGGGGATTTCTGATTCTAAGGGAACAAAAGTTTTTCTGGCTTTAAAGACTTAAGACATAGTCTTTATAATAATTTTCTTTAAAAATTTCAGTAGGTTATAATGCAGTTCTTTAAAAAGAGCGAATGTACAATATCATATACAATAGTCTATCCTCCTGACCCACTCCTCCCTTCCAGTTCTCCCTAAGGACAATTGTTAATCAGTTTCCTGTATACCCTTCTAGAAATATTATATGCGGATATGGTATATGTCCAATTAAAAAAACCTGATACATACTGTTACTCCTGTTCAGCATCTTGGTTTCAATTTTTATTTAAAATTTGGGATTCTGAAATATACCAAAACAGCATAGAAAATGAGCCCTCCATCCCCCTGCCCCATGACCCACCACACAGGTTAACAGATAACACTTTGCATTGGCGCCTTGTTTATGGCTGTCTTGGAGGTAGTCCCATGTGACCCTAGCTGCCTCTTTGTGGTAACTGCCCAAGAGTCGTTATTGATTATATGCATGCACCCAATATAATTTGTTCGACCTGTTCTTGGATATTTAAGGAATTACTGACTTTTTGCTTATATAATTGTGATGGAGGTAATATCCCATTTTGTATAAAGTTTGCCCGGGTGGGTGGGCATCGAGGCAAAGGAGAACGAGGCTCAGCTTTGGGTTGGGTTCAAATTCCTGCTCCGCCACACTTCTAGCTGTGGGATCTCGAGTGAGGGAAGGCCCTCACTTTCCCCATCTGTAAAATGAACTGGCTATAGTAATCTATGAGACGGAGGTCTCATAGCTGCTGAGAGGAGTAGAAAACTCAAGTATAGAGGCTTCACTGGGCTTAGTTCCCAGTTTCCCTGGGCAGGGAGGTCTCCGCGGGGACACCAAATTCTCAAGCCCAGCCTAAGAGCTAGAGCGCCCGGCGCCAGCAGTTTTGCCATAAACTCCAATCCGTTCCCCGCCCCTCTTCCTCCGCCGCCACGCTGAGGGCGGAGCGGTTAAATGTCTGTGACGTCAGCCCGAGCAGGGCCAATCTCCCTGCCCCGCAGACGTTAGCTCGTTTGCATGGGTGGCCCGCCATTGGTCTGTCGAGCAACCTGGGCAGTTCCAGCTTTTTAAAGACGCCGCGTAGTATAAACAAGGCGATGTGGGGCGGCAGGGCCATGATGTCATCGCGGTGCTGCAGCTCTTGGGAGTGACGTCATCTCCGGAAAGGTGGCCGGCCCACAGCTGTTAAATCCAGCCTAACCACTTGGGTCGGCTTGAGGCCGCTTTCGTCCCGTCAGAGGTCAGACCCATTGCACTTCAGAATCCCAGGCGGCACCCTGTCCCCGAGGAGGGGACCATGACACAGTAAGTCCGTACTGCCGATTCTCCTTGCGGGACCAATTTCTTCGGTAGGGAAACAGCCTCAGAGGCGCGAGTAGTTCGCGAGTTTGCATAGCAAGTTCGAGTTGCAGCCGATCGGTTTTGCCCACCCTGGGGTCTTCCCATCTTTATATCAGGCCATGTGGCCCCGCCCCTTGCTTTTGACTACGGCTGCGGTCACTTTAAGTGCGAAGGTGGGGGCGAGGAGGAGGTTAAAAAAACTTTCAAGATGGCGGTCCATTAGTCACGTGCCTGGTCGCGGCGAGTGATTGGCTCTCGGGGCGGAGCTCCCGGCGCGGGGTGGGCCACCGCGGGCTTGCAGCAGGCTACGGTATGCCGGAGCCTCCGGGCGCGCCCCCGCGAGCCCCCTCCCGCCCGGCGCGCGACCCCGCCGCTTCGAATGTTGTGAATCAAATGTGGGGTTTGTTACATTCCGCTGCCGCCGCGGACAGTTCTTAAAGGGCCAGCCGCCAACAGCCGCGCAGACCCAGCTGCGTCCTGCGCCGCCTCCCGCTCCCTAAGGGCCTGGGCCGAGAGAGACTGACCGCGGGTGGGCCTCGCAAGGCAGACGCCGTCGGGCGGACAACAAAGAGAGAGGCCCCGGAAGAAGCCGGGCTACCCTCGGACCCGGGGGTGGGGAGGGCAGCACATTGTTCCGCAGGGCGGGAGCTCTTAAAGGGTCCAGGCAGCACCCCCCCCCCCCGCCCCCTGCCCAGTTTGGCCGTCATAGATCGGGAACAAAGGAGTCAACGTGTGGCCGGGCGGCCAAAGGTGAGTCGGGGCCAGGGACCCCAACTCCCTATTCCCTCACCCCTGGACCTCCGGTTCCCCTCCCCTGGGAATGGGGGCAGTGATCTAGCTGGCTCCGCAGGGGTTAATCACTGGCGGTCAGCGAGATCTCAGGGATCAGGGACCCCCGCCCCCCCCCAGGGCCCCCAGCGGCCCGGCCGGGTCTCCTCTTTCCAGAGGGTGAGCGCTGCGGTTGGAGAGGAAGGAGCCGCCCCCCTCCCCCTGCGGCCGCCACTTCCTTTGTTGTTGCTTTTGTCTCACGCCGAGCACATGGTCCGGGATCCTCGGCTCTTAAAGTCACAGCGCTCCGGCCCAGGCGCTGCAGTCTTGCCTCCCGCCCCCGGTGTCCCTCCGAGAGCGGCACAAAAGAGTGGGAGGTGGACGAGAGAGGCCCCTCTCGGGGCAGGTGTCCGCGCCTCGGCCCCTAGTACCATCCCTGGGAGGGCTGGCTGGGTAAGGTTCCCAGAGCCCCACAGCAAGCTCTTGGCCTGTGTTAGGGAGCCCCCTCTTCCCCAGAGACACTGTTTTCCTCCCCCGCTAATGTGACAACCTGGTTTCCTCTTGATTCTTCTGGTTTTATTTGGGCGCTCTGGGAAGGAAAGGTTTCCACCCCCATTTTACAGCTGTGCCAACTGAGGCTCTCAGAAGCAAAGGGATTTCCTTGACCAAGGTCACCCATGGAGTATTCTCTCCTAGTCTGGTGGTCCGGCTCTCAGTGGCCCCCAGGCACTAAAGCCTGCTTGTTTGGGGTGGGGGATGGGGAAATAGGAAGGGGGGCTTCTCTTCCTGCCTGAGTCTGAGTCTACTCATACCCCTAAGGTCTGACTTTGTTTTCTTCTACAAAAGGGAGTGCCTCTTCATGCAAACAGATCCCTGGGGCCCTTAGACCAAGGTCAGGGTAGGTGCTTGGGGCACTGGACCTCAGGTGTTGGCTGCCTCTCATGGGTGGGTGGTGGGGAGAGTGTTGACTGCAAAATGCATTGCATGCCTCTGGCCTGATAGGGCTCAGCAGCGGGACTCTCAAGACCGGTTCACACAGACCTCGGTGACAGCACAGCACAGAGATGTAGACTGAGCAGTTGTTAGGAGATGCCACCTTGCCACCCTTGCTGTTTGACCTTGAGCAAGTTGCTAGCTCCAACTCTGGGCCGTGCTTGCTTCTCTGCACCACAAAGCCTATGATGGGTGCCTCAAAGAGAGTGCTCTCCCAGCCTCCTGAATGGCTTGAAGACTCGCGATTAGGTGATTTCCTCCGACTACTGATGCCGCAAGGAGTTTGGGCCTATGGTCCAGCCAGGACCAATATTGTTCTCTCTGGCTTTGTGGCCTAGAGCAACTTACTTCCTTTCTCTCAGCCTCAGTTTTCTCAGCTGTGAAGTGAGTGTAACCTTTCTATGCCACCCCTGTTCCTGGCAGGGCTTAAAGAACCAGGAGCCACTCTTCCCAGCTGCGGTATTATCCTAGAGTAGCATATCTGCCTGCTGCCTGGAAGTGGCACCCTTCAGGCTCTGCTTGAGGTTGGGAATGGAGGTCAGCATGTCATATTCTCTAATAATGATCATTTATATCCAAGCTAAGTAAGACTTTACAGGTTGCTTCTGCTGTTGCCTTGGAGCAGTCCTTGATGGTAAACTGGGAGGTAGTTATTGGGGTGTTACCATTTTACAGATGAAGATACTGAGACTCAGGAGGGGAGGCCCTTGCCCACTGCCTGTAGCCAAGAATCTAGCTAGAAATCAGTGTCCTGTGAGTCTGTAAGAGCCGATGCTGTCACCCACAGCTGGAGGCCCTTCTCTCTCTGGTTTGCTTTCACAGCTCCTTACCCCTTCCCTGTCCTGAGGAGTGGGTGCCTTGCTAGGGGGCTGGCCACAGAGCAGACATGCACAGGCTTGGGCCTGGCACTGCTCAGCCATCAGTAAGACATCCTGGCACAAGAGGAGCAGTCAAGGCTGCTGGCTTGGTGGCTAATCATGGGTGCTTTACAGTCAGACTGCTTAGGTCCCCTGTGCACCTGCAATTCCAGTTGACTGGCCTTGGACCTCACCCCTGTGAGCCTTGGTGTCCTGACCTCCCAGGGTTGCTGGGAGGACTCACCAAGTTGGCGTGGGGGAAACAGCATGGTTATTACAGTGACTGTTCCTCACCAGCAGAACTGTGAGCTCCCAGACTCTCTGAGGTTAGCTAGGGCAGAGATTCCCAAACCTAGCTGTGTTATGGCAACTTCTGGGGAATTGGATAAAAATCTAGGTGCCCTTGTTCCCCAACCCTCCAAAGAGTCTGGTCCAGGAGGCCTGGGATGGGCCAGGCATCTGCTGTTTCAGTTACTTGGGGATTTCCTGAGCCTCCCTTGGCCGTTGTTTGCTTGACTGGTTTGTTGGCAGGAATTAGAGAGGCTCTGTGTGTAGACATGCATGTCAGGATGTGCACTTGGCCCGTGCCAGGGGTCACAAACCCAGTCCCCTTTGGTGGGCAGGCAGAGGATGGTCCTGAGTGACCTGGAGAGAAAGCTCTTGCTCCCAGTGAGGGGCCAGGCAGAAATGCGTGGGACCGGATTTGCCATGAGAAGCCAGGTTTTTTTGTAATCCCTCAATTTTTAATCGTTGGCATTAAAGTTATGGCTGCCAGACTGTGTGGCCTTGGACCTGTGTGATTGGCTCTGTTCCATGCACATGTATCACATTAGGCCTTCCCTGAGCTGGACACGGGTGGTCCCCGGCCCTGCCCACACCCTCTACCAGCCGTGCCCCATCACCCATGCAGGCTTCTTTTGAGAAGTAGGGCCCAAGCTTGCAACGTGTAGCAGAGAGGAAATGGTTCTTGCCACTGTCGGCAGGAAGGAACTAGGTGTTGAGCTGACAGTACACTGGCTCCCTGGCTGTGTCAGCAAGGAGGTGACATTGAAAGCTGAGTATCGAGGCTGCATAGGCATTTTGTTAGATGGGGAAGGGGTGGAAGGGGCCTCCTTGTGGCAGGAACAACGAAGGGCTGGTCATGTTGGATGCACCCATCAGCTTTGCAGGGCCTAACAGGTTCTAGAGCTTTTCCTGCCAGGGTGTCATCCCAGCTTTGAGTTGAGTGGAACCCTGAGGTTGAGCCAGGTCCCTCAAGATTCCCTACCTGGACCCTGGGCTCTGACTGGAGGCAGGAGACCCTGCCCCAACCCATTCCTATTTAACTTCCTCTCTCGGGTTCTTGCTTCCCTTTTTTCTCAGCAGGCCCCACATCCTACTTTGAGGGCTGGGTTGGGGCCCCTAGAACAAGGGCCTGGCTGTATGCCAGGCTCCGCAGTCTCCCCAGGCCAGCTTCCTCCATCACCTCCCACGGAGCCTGGGGCCCGTCCTCTCCATCAGCAGCAGAGGACAGGGAGAGGCTTGTCTTTGGCCCACCTCCCAGTTTTGACACTTGCCTTGGGGCTTTGGGCAAGTTTCTGCTTGCTGAGCCTCACTTTCCTCCTCTGTAAAGTGGGCCAGCTATACTTTCCTTGAAAGGTAGATGAAGTCACACTTGGACAGGCATAGTGGGATCAGGTTAAGGGAAGAAAGAATAGTGTGTTGCCTTGGACTAGAAGCTCCCAAGTGCAGGGGCAGGATAGAACCTCTTGCCTGGCGCTAGTAAGAGGAGAACTGGGTCCCAGGCTTGTTTGGAATCCCTGTTGTAGCCAACCAGAGAGAAGAGAGGATGCTGGAGCCTCCACAGGAAGCCCCAGCTGCCGCCTGGAGGCCAAATTGTAGCCCCTGGTGTAAGGCAGAAGGTCCCACCCGAAGCCCCTTTCCAGGACACGGTGCCCTGAGACCCGGCCCAGCGGGAGCCTACCAGGAGCCTGGAAGCACGCTGGCCAGCTCCCTGAGCCCTGCAACTGAGGGGAACTGGGTCCCATTTCACACAGCAGGAGGGTGAGGCCTTGGTGCCGGCAGGCTAAGCTGTCCTGGTATGTCAGCACTGGACCCCAGGTCTCAGAGGAGGGGCATGGCTGAACACCACTGGTCTCTAGGGTCACACTGCAGAGGTTTGGTTCTGACCCCCATGGCACACGCACCTGGACTCCTCGGTGCTGCAGTTTCTTTTTTTCTTTTTTTTTTGAGACAGAGTTTTGCTCTGTTGCCAGGCTGGAGTGCAGTGGTGTGATCTCAGCTCACTGCAACCTCCGCCTCCCAGGTTGAAGTGATTCCTTTGCCTCGGCCTCCCACGTAGCCGGGATTATGGGTGTCCACCACCACGCTTGACTGGTTTTTGTGGTTTTAGTAGAGATGGGCTTTCACCATGTTGGCCAGGTGCCTCAGTTTCCTTGTCTCCTGCCTCCTAGGGTTGTGAGTCCCGGCCCAGCCCCACCACCCCCCAGCCCCCCAGATGCGACCATGGGCTCTGGCAGTGACTAGGTGGCCACCCTCTGCCCCCGTGGGTCAGCGGCGATTCTCTGCAGGACCCAGCAGCACCCCAGGCCAGCTCTGGGGAAGGTAGGAAGGAGCCTCCCAGTCCTGGTGCTGAGGCACGAGGGCCTTGAGGGACGGGGCGCAGGGCCCTGAGCTGTCTTCCCTCCCTGTGGGGGGAGTCACCCTGGCTTCTCTCCCTGTTCTGTGCATGAGTGGTCCCCCTCAGTCCTATTGGGGCCTCCTCTTTGTGGTGCAGCCCCGGCTTCGAGGGCCCCCTGGCCAGCCCACCTGCCTGCGATGAGCGCTTACCTTCCCAGCAGCTGCCGTCCCAACCTCCATACCTCCCTGTAGAGGAGCGCCGAGCCTCGGCTCCTGCCGGCGGGAGCCCCCGAATGCTGCACCCAGCCACCCAGCAGAGCCCGTTCATGGTTGATCTCCATGAGCAGGTAGGCAGAACCCCACCTCCTATGCCCCTAGGCCTTCGAGCCAGTCTGAGAAACAGAGGCAGCAAGGCCTTGATTTCACCTTGCTTGTTTCATTTCACATTCCAAGGAGGCATTATTGGCCCCATTTTACAGGTAGGTAAACTGAGGCCCAGGGAGAGGGGGCCCACTGGATGACTGGCAGAGCTGGATTCCCACAGGGCCCTCTCTGCCCTGGGGACCCAGGGTAGGAGTACAGTCTGCTCTGCACTGAGGTAGACCCCATTGGAGAAGGGAAGGGAGCCAGCAGCTGGACCTGGCAGGACGGTTTCTCCTGAGAGTAGCCCTCTTGGCCAGCTTCCTTCTCACACTTTCCCGGCATTCTCTCCACCCATAGGTGCATCAGGGACCTGTCCCTCTGTCTTACACAGTCACCACAGTGACAACCCAAGGCTTCCCCTTGCCTACAGGCCAACACATCCCTGGCTGCAGTGCCCAGCAGCTCCCAGCATGCTCCGTGATGTTCAGTGGGCAGCACTACCCCCTCTGCTGCCTCCCACCCCCGGTGAGTGAGTGTTTCTAGCTCCTACTCCACCAGCTGCAAGCCCCAGGCACAGGCCAGCGGCTCAGCAGGCCTAGGGCAGCCCTGAACTGGGCTGAGCTATCCAGCCATCCAGGCTGTCAGAGCACCTTCCTGGCCTCCCCAGGAAAGCGTACACGTGTGTGTTCGCATTTAGTAATAGAGTGTTTCAAGGTTCAGAGACCTTCCAGCACCCCTGTACCTGCCTTACAGCTTGGCAGAGGCCCAGGAGTTGAGGCTGTGGGCCTTAAGAGTGGAGTGTCCTGCCTGGGTGGCCTAGGACAGGGATAGGCCTTCCTCAGGGTTTCTTGTGCAGACCCTAGAGCTGCTGGGTATGTGCCCAGTGGGGGCCTTTTGCTGGGTGGCATGGTATAGGCCTGGCCCAGAGCCCAGGAGAACGTTCTCAGCCCCCCACCCCCTCTCTCGGCAGCTTATCCAGGCGTGCACCATGCAGCAGCTGCCTGTGCCCTATCAGGCCTATCCCCACCTCATCTCCAGTGACCACTACATCCTGCACCCCCCACCACCGGCCCCACCCCCCCAGCCCACCCACATGGCGCCCCTGGGGCAGTTTGTGTCTCTGCAGACCCAGCATCCGAGGATGGTGAGTCTGGGCATGGGTCTGGTGCTGGAGAGGGATAGCGTGGGGGGAGGCGGGCAGGGACAGCCTTGTCTCACTGACTTGCTGACCTGGCCCCACGTCTTTCAGCCCCTGCAGCGGCTCGACAACGATGTGGACCTGCGTGGGGACCAGCACTCCCTGGGTAGCTTCACCTACTCCACCTCTGCCCCTGGCCCAGCCCTATCTCCATCAGTGCCCCTGCACTACCTGCCCCACGATCCACTGCACCAGGAGCTGTCCTTTGGTGTGGTGAGTGCCACCCTGACCCCCACCTGGGCTCCTGGGCTGCTGGGAGGCAGACCCACCAGGCTGACCTGCACCTGGGCTCCGGGGCGGGTGGGAGGCAGGTTCCCTGGGCTGACCTGCACCTTGCCCCTCTTACAGCCATATTCTCACATGATGCCGCGGAGACTGAGCACCCAGAGATACCGCCTGCAGCAGCCACTGCCCCCGCCACCACCCCCACCACCCTACTACCCCAGCTTCCTGCCCTACTTCCTGTAAGTATCTACACATCCGCCCTGGGTTCCTTATGCCCTGTTCTCCTAGAACCTCGAGTGGTTAGACCCAAACACATCTCAAGGGGTCCCAGGGCCTCCAAAGCTGGGCTCTCTGCCCCACTACAATGCCCTAGGCCAAACACCAAGGTCTCCCAGTATGAGCCAAGTGGAGCTCTGGGCTCTGTTGGCAAAGAGGAAGTCAGGAGAGTGGCTCTGTGCGACCCACTTCTGACCTTGACCCTTGGCCCCCATCCTTGTGTCTCTCTAGCTCGATGCTGCCAGTGTCACCAACAGCAGTGGGGCCCACCATCAGCCTGGATCTGGACGTGGATGACGTGGAGATGGAGAACTATGAGGTCTTGTGGAGCGCCGTGCTGGGAGGTGGGGTGGGAGACCTGCAGCCCTGGGCGCCGCTGACCCCACCTCCTGCCCACATGCAGGCCCTCCTGAACCTGGCTGAGCGGCTGGGAGATGCCAAACCACGGGGCCTCACCAAAGCAGACATAGAGCAGCTCCCATCGTACCGCTTTAACCCGGACAGCCGTCAGTCAGAGCAGACGCTGTGAGTACCATGCCCCACCTCCCGCCCCTCTGAACACAGCTGGCTGCCACAAGATGCCCCTCTCAGGGGAGTCACGCTTCACTGAGCCTTCCCGTGGCCCTCAGTGTGGAGGTGACGCTCCGTGACCCCTCACAGGTGTGTGGTCTGCTTCAGTGACTTCGAGGTGCGGCAGCTTCTCCGAGTCCTGCCCTGCAACCATGAGTTCCACACCAAGTGTGTTGACAAGTGGTTGAAGGTAACACGGCCCACGCTGGCTCCTGGGTATTCCTCATGTAGTGACAGGGGGATGGGCAGCTCTGGAGTGTTTCCCTCCTGGTCCTTGTCATCATCTTGGAAATTCTGGCTCCAGGGAACCAAGTCCTCCCAGGTGGCTAAACAGATGTGGTGGGTTGGGGTGGGTGAGAGCAATGCCTGACGTCAATGCCTGCGGTTCCTGCAGGCCAACCGGACGTGTCCCATCTGCCGGGCCGACGCCTCCGAGGTGCCCAGAGAGGCTGAGTGAGGCCTCACAGCTGCCCGGGAGAACCCTGCCTGAAGCTCTGGAAACTCGGGTGGGGGGCCCAGGGAGGACAGAGAGGGAGTGTGGCCCAGGCCTGCCCTGTCACTCCTGCCTGCATCTCCAGAGCTGGTGCCAGGGTCAGCCCGGTGAGGAGCTCCTGCAATAAGCCCCTGCATTTGACAAGCTCCAAAGACTCCCTCCCCATTCTGTCTGCCCATCTACCCGCCACGGAGCTGCCTGAGTGTCCATAATGTGGTCTCCCTCCTGTGCGCCCTTGGGTTCCTCTATTCCTGCGGGCACTGAGAGCCAGGGGTTTGCTCCCCCCAGTGGGGCTGGTGGCAATCCTTGGCCCCAGGATAGGCAGACAGGGCACCATCTTGGGTCAGCTGGTCTCGTGCTCTGAAATGGTGTGCCCTCTGCCCAGGTGGCACTGCCAGTCATGTAGACAGACGGTGTCACAGGCCATATCCTGAGCCCCAGGGCGGAATGCTCCCTCCTTGACCCCAAACAGCGAACTCAGGCTTCCAGCTCTGGGTTGGCTGCTGTGAGGGCGGAGTCTGGCTCCCTAGGGGACCCTCAACCCAGGCACAACATTCCAGCCTTGTCCTCAGGCTGGAGGGTGTCCCAGCCTAGCCCTGAGCTGGGGCACACGTAGCCTGAGGGGCCTGTATTCCCAGTGGCTGCCCCTCCCAGGGATGCGGTCAGACCTGTGCCCGATCTCCTCTCCCTCTGTCGTTTTGCATGAACGTGAGGAGCAGCAGTTTTTGTTTATTCATTTGGCCCAAAATCGCGTGTAGGATTTGGGGATGTGGATATTTAAGACATTTTTTTTTTCTTTTGGTTTAATGGGGGCGGGTATAGGGACCAACTGGGACCGAGTGCCCAGGGGGCCAAGCACGGGTGCGCTGCCCAGCCCACATGCATGCGTGTGCCGGGCTGGGTGGGACTGGGTGCCGGTGGTCGTGGGGCAGAGTTGGGGGTCTGTGCTCAGCTGATAACTGCCATGCACTGTACTGCACACGTCCCTTGAGCCCACTGGGACCAGATGCTTTTCAGGGCATTTCTCCCTCCAGCCAGGCCCCGTTTCCCACCTGCCTGGGCAAGTCTCCTCCAAGGAAGTCCCAGGAGGATCGGGACCAGGAAGGTCATGGACCCCCATCTCTTGGGGCCTCCCAGCCTGATCCCTGCCCTCCAAGCTCTGGAGGAGGCCCCTGTAGGGTCTGGCAGAGCTTCCCACCCTCCTTCCCTGGTCCTAGTCCTTTCCTGCCCTACCCCCAGCTGGGGTTGCTGCCCTGAACGAACCGCGTGTGGGGCCCTGCACATCCTAGCAGGCAGCCCCTGGCGCCTGCTGCCTCAGGGATGCTCCAACCACCCTCGTTCTCCCCGCAGCGGCCCTGGCTCCCACCTCCCACCCCAGCCTGCCGTGGGGTCCGTCAGCCTGGTCCCACCCCCATGGAGAACCCAAAGTCTTACTGTATATAACTCCAGGTGACGTTTCTATATTTATAGCAGTGTTGAAAACCCACGTGTTTTACACAGAAGCACCCTCTCCAACCCCCTCCCTTTCCGACCCCAACAAAAGGTTTTCAAACCCCTTGTGGTTCCTGGGGCAGGCGGAAACAGGCTCACAGATTGTGTGTCGGCTGCAGCATTGATTCTAACAAGCAGCTATTGAGGGGGGAAACAGCATTTCAAAAATCATTAAAAAACCAGATTTCTACAACAATTACTTAGGATGTTTGTGATTTGCCGACCTTGCTGTAGTTACCAATGATTTCCTGTGGTGGGGGCTTGCCATTGTTTACTCTTTTATTTACCAACTTCCGGCCTAGGCATGACAGTGGGCACCTTCCCCCAGCCCTGGCTGGGCCCAGCGCCTGTGTTCTGTGTTAGAAAGGTTTTATATATATAAAATTACATATATATATATAGAAATATATGTAATTTTGGGGGCCCTGTTCCTTGCACATTTTACAGTTACCTCATTTTTCCCATGTATGTATTTGAGAAAATGCTAATATATAGAGAAAATAATGGTTCTTAAAGCTTAAATGTGTGGTTTTTTCCATTCCATGGGATTCACATTGGTTTGTAGCATTTAACATAACTAGTATGTTGTATTATATATATGTGTATACTGATTGAAATTTTTAACAGATTTGTACTTTTTTTAAAATGAAAGTTGCTAGTTCTGCTTGACCAAGTAGTGCAATCATTATTTTTTTTAATATTGTTGCTGATTTCAGAGGGATATTCACTAATAAATGTATGATGTATACCAACGACCGCCCACGCTGCCTTTGGCTGCCTGTGTCTTTGGTGGGAGCTGGGATGGGAATGAGGCTAGGAGCAGACAGGGTTGCTCTCTGCTATGGAACTGTGGGGCAGCCGACACCCCCTCATCCATAGGGGTCTGCCAAGCCAGTTCAGTGGTGACCTTCTCTAAACTGTCTGCTTCACATGTGAGTTAGACAGGCTTCTGTTAGCAAGTGACAGGTTTCCATTTAACTGGTTTGAGGGAAAAGTCACTTATTGGTCTCCTGTCATTTGAATCCCAAGGTAGAGGCCAGTTGTGGTGGCTCACGCCTATAATCCCAGCATTTTGAGAGGCCGCGGCTGGTGGATCACTTGAGGTCAGGGATTTGAGACCAGCCTACCCAACATGGTGAAACCCATCTCTACTTAAGGATACAAGAAAATTAGCTAGTTGTGGTGGCACAAGCCTGTGGTCCCAGCCACTCAGGAGGCTGAGGTAGGAGAATTGGTTGAACTCAGGAGGTAGAGGTTGCAGTGAGCCAAGATGGGGCCACTGCACTCCAGCCTGGGTGACGGCAGACTCCATCTCAAAAAATAAATCCCAAGGTAGGTTCTTGTGTCGTGACTGGATCAGGAGCTCAGGCCAGTCATGGGGAAATAAGGTCTCCCCCATTTCACAACTTTTTGTTGGTTTCTTTTTTCAATAGGAATGAGTCTTACTATGCTGCCCAGGCTGGTCTTGAACTTCTGGGTTCAAGCAGTCCTCTCACCTTGGTCTCCCAAAGTGCTGGGATTGCAGGCGTGAGCCGCTGCACCTGGCCTGCAGCCTTGCTTTTCTCTGCGCGGTAGCACTTGGTAGCCCTTGCTCAGTTTCCTCTAATTTAGCATCACCTCTGGTGATGGAGAGTTGTCAGACCCACTTTGGTTGTGTCCCCACACCAGATCTCTTTAGTGATGTTTGGGAGTGAGAGCAGCATGACTGGTCAGGCCTTTTACATACTGCCCACCCTTCAACCCCACTGAAACTACAAAGAGCTGCAGCCCTTGGACCCAGGCTCAGTGGGGATGAAGTGCCCAGGACCCGTGAAGGAGACCAGATTGGTGATGAGGAATGTCAGCCAACTTCTTAGCATGTCACAGCAGTGTGGTCTAGAGCCAAACAGTGGGCTGGAGTAGGAGACCTGCGACCCTGTGTCTGTGATGCCACTAACCAGAGCCTTGGTCAGTGCATTTCTCTTTCCAGTCTTTGGATCATCTGCAAATTAGGGGACAAGATCAGTTGAATAGTTCTCTAAGTGTGTTTCTGAGAAAGTCCGCTGAGACCCTAACAGCGTTTATGCAAAAAAAAAAAACAAAGAGCTCCATGGTCAAATCAATGTGGTAAACTAAATGGTTTTTTTTTTTTTTTTTTTCTGAGACAGTCTTGCTCTGTCACCAGGCGTCAGGCTGGAGTGCAGTGGCACGATCTCGGCTCACTGTAACCTCCGCCTCCCGGGTTCGAGCAATTCTCCTTCCTCAGCCTCCCAAGTAGCTGGGACCACAGGCGTGCGCCAACTACATCCAGCTAATTTTTGTATTTTTTTAGTAGAGACAGGGTTTCACCATGATCTGGATCTCTTGACCTCATGATCTGCCCGCCTCGGCCTCCCAAAGTGCTGGGATTACAGGCGTGAGCCACAGTGCCCGGCCATAAACTCCATGTTGAAGGTAACAGAACAGAAGCCCTAAGCAGGGCTTCTCTGAGGCTTGGCTATGATGATGGGCATTGTAAATCTCCAGCAGTTGATACTGTGGCATTTCCCCCATTTGGTTACTTCGGCCATGTGTAGGGCTCAAGTTACATTTCCTGGAGCACACTGGTACAAGGTGGACTAGAAGGGCGGTAGCCTCTGAGTTCCTGCGGCCCTATAGGTCTGAGAAGATTGTTGGGAAGTTTCCAAGCTTTTTATAATATTTCACAAAGGCTAAAGAAAAGTTACATGAACACATCAATGGATGCAAAAAAGTAGTTTGACAAAATTCTACAATTCTCCATGATAACTGTCAACAAGCTAGGAATAGAAAGTAAATTCCTCAGCTTGATAAAGAGCATCTACAGAAACCCCTGCAGCTAACATCATACTTAATGGTGGAAGACTAGATGCTTTTCCCTGAGATTGGAATGAGGCAAGGCTGTGTCCTCTTGCCACTCCTATTCAACATTGTATTGGAAGACCCAGCCAGCACAATAAGGCAAGAAAAAGAAACAAAAGGAAAGGGAACAATAAAACTCCCAATTTACAGCTGATAGGATGAAAATCCAGGTAGAAAATCTGAAGAATCTACAAAAAAAAACCTCTAGGACTAACGGAGTTCAGAAGGTTGTACGTACAAGATCAACATAGAAAAATTAATTGATTCTGCTGGGTGCCATGGCTCTTGCCTGAAATCCCAGCACTTTGGGAGGCTGAGTCGGGTGGATCATCTGAGGTCAGGAGTTCGAGACCAGCTTGGCCAACATGATGAAACCCCATCTCCACTAAAAATACAAAAATTAGCTGGGCATGGTGTCAGGCACCTGTAATCACAGCTACTTGGGAGGCTGATGCAGGGGAATCACTTGAACCCAGCAGGCGGAGGTTGCAATGAGCCAAGATTCCACCATTGCACTCCAGCCTGGATGACAAGAGTAAAACTCT